CTGCTGGTCTGAGCAGTGGTAAACCCAGCTGGAGATCAGTCACCTGGACCGACCCTTTTCCTTGGCAGAAACGTCTGAAAATACCAGGGTTAACATTCACCCACCCTCGAATCGCCAAGGGCTTTTCATTGTTTATTTGTTAGTAACCTAAGAGTTGGCATCCTTTCCCGAAGGGAACAGGGAGAAAGAGATTCCTAAAAGCACTCAGCCCTGAGACAGCTCTGTCCTCCTGAAATCACAGAACCTCTCAACAGCCATTTCCCTCAGTGATGGTTTAGGTTCGTATGGAACCCTCTTAAAAAATACCAGCGTGACAGAGTTAGTACTCAATTCACTGCCTTCTGAGGGAAGTCCCTACTTCTGGGAAGCCTGAATCTGCCCCTGAACTTCCAGGTTTGCTGTAAGCAGCCTCAGCACGCAGCCACGTGTGCCACTAGCTTCCAGCGCGGCGGCGAGGCTTCGCTGGGGTGAGGTGTAGCATTTTCTAGAAACACTTCCTACTCCAGCGTGGCTTTAGCCGCTCTCCACTCGCTAGCAGGTGGGTTAGCAGTATTCACATGGTTAATATCTATACCCGTGGCAGGAAAAACTCAGCCCCCAGCGTTGCTTAGAAAAAGCGAACTCTTAGGGCTAAGGCACGTCCGTACTTGTAGGTCAAGTTGAAGTGGTCCCATTTCAAGTGCCCCGGTGTGATCGTGTATCGTTTTCTCCGTGCTGGAGGCCGAGGTGGGAAAGCTGGACTGTGCAAAGCAGAAGCACTCGCTCCATGAAGACCGGGTGATGTGGCGTCTTCCTTAAAAGACAAAACAGGAGGTTGAAAGAGAGGGGAGAGACTGCAGGGTTGAACGGTGTAAACGAAGAACTACCAGGTACGGGGCATTTGGAGGCTGGGGAGCACAACTGGTGCTCCCTTATGGGTGTCCAGGAGGCAAGACCAGTGTATCAGCTGGTCAGGACTTTGCCAAGTGCGGAACAAAACCGAGACAGAGCAAAAGAGGGGCTAGACTGTGAGGAGCTCTTGGGGCACGTCTTAGTTCAGGCATGCAGGGAAAGGAAGGGGGCAGCACTCCTCAGCACTGGACCACGGAGGATCAGTGCTGCAGGCTCCCTCGAGCTGCTGCCTAATTCCAGGATCGGGCACTGCAGCCGCCCGGCTCTCTTGGAGCGCAGCACAGACGGAGCAGAAACGAGGCCTCAGCAGGCTCCTGGCCCCAGCGAGTGCTGCAGCTCCTCCTGGAAAGTTTTCATTTCCTTTTCACTTTGCTGTTGCTCTCCAGCCTCACCACAGAAGAAATGAAAAACCGGACAAATGAGTAAAACAGGCAACGCTTTGTGCAGAGAGCTCTTTATAAAGCTGCACTGTGGATCTGAAATGCCTTCAAAGTAAATAGGAGCTCTGGAAACCCTGGAGTGCTTTTAAAGCCACCATACAGTAAAAGACATCAAATTTCATGACAGGTCTGACTCAAAACTATAAAAGCCTTTTCGTCCTGAGTAGTGGGAGGTAAAAGAATGGGACACAACACGGTTCTTTGGAAGTCTACCTGCTCTGCCTCTCCTTTTCAGGACTAAGACACTGAATAGCTCTGGGTCATCTTTGCTCCAGAGGCACCAGGACACTTAATAAGCGGTATGTACAGTGGCAACGTTACAAAAGCTGTACCAGGACGAGTTTGTTCAGCCTCACAGCACATTCTGCAGAAAGCAAAAACTGTTTTCCTTTCGCTCATGGAAGAGCTGACGCTCTGAGTCCAACCAGCATATCCCTGGTCTCGCAGCAAGCCAACGGCAAGAGAAGACAAGGAGCTCGAAGGAACAGCTGCCAGATACTGCCCAAAGGACCAGGGCTAGGCATGGCTGGTAACGGGCTGAGGGACTATCCTAACAGGAAAGCTGTCTCCCTTGCTCATGTCTGTGAGCCATACTAGTTCCTACCTTGCTCTAATCTCAGTATCTTTCTTTCCTAGAAGGACAGTCTTTTAGCCTTTCTTCCAGCTCAGCCCTGGGTCTGACTCCCAAGCTGAAATCAGCAGCTTTTGGATGTAAGGAATGCAAGGGCCAGGGCACAACACCTGGGAGACAGAGAGATAGAATCACAGAACCGTTTAGGTTGGAAAAAGACCTTTGAGATCATCGGTCCAACCGTTAGTCCAGCACCGCCAAGTCCACCACTGGACCGTGTCCCTAAGTGCCACATCTACACGTCTTTTAAATACCCCCAGGGATGGTACTGACTCAGTCACTTCCCTGGGCAGCCTGTTCCAGCGCCTGACAACCCTTTCAGTGAAGAAGTTTTTCCTAATATCCAATCTAAACCTCTCCTGGCGCAACTTGAGGCTGTTTCCTCTTGTCCTATCGATTGCCATCTAAGCTGCAAGCTTTTGGCAGGGTATTTGATCACATTTCTGGGAGCCTTCAAATGCCAATTTGCTCTGGAAAGAACCCCCAGGATAACTTTTCCATTTCAACCTTCATCACTTCGCTGTATTAAGGGATCTGGCTGCGGAACCCGTGCTTTTTGGTTCACTCAGCTCAAGGCCTAGGCCCCTCTTCACCAAGGCTCGTGTGATGCGAGTACACTGGCTGTTGTCCCTCTCCCTTCACCTCCAGTGGCTTTTACCTCCAATTCAACTCTGAGAATGCCATTTCCCCTTGACACGAAAGGAATATTTTGCATCCTTTTGAGCAGCACAGGCAAGGTGGAGGATCAGCTAGCCTGCGTGTCAACGATCTCTTGGAGCTGTAAGAGAAGCCTGGCGAAAATCAGCTCAATTACAGGATAATAATAAGGTTTTTTTGCAGTTCTTTCAAGTAGGGTAGAATT